TAGAACCACGTTTCTAACATATGTAGGCAAAAGTGCCAGGGATAATTTTCCCATGATTTTGTGTGGAAACATTGAATTATGGGACATTCATTATATGTCAGATTAAGCTAGTACAGTCTTACAAAATCCAAAACTAAGAAATGGTGTTGCCCTAAAATATTATTCTATGTACATGGTCAATTTTTATATCTCACCAAAATAATATTTTCATAGATTTACCTGAAAAGATACATACAGACAAATATAATTCAGACCATCTGATTGAAAAAATTTTTTAGTTGTGCACACTTAGCGTGTGTGAAACGCCGCTGCCCTCGCGCGCTACTTAATGAAACTGGGGCCGAAATATGACATCATATTCCGGCCCTGTCTCATTAAGCTGTGCGCTGGGGAGCAGAGCAGAGACAGCACAGCTCCCCCTGTGGCCGCCAGCACAGACCGCTCCACAAGCAGCCACCATCACAGCTCCTCCTGTGGCCGCCATCACAGTTCCCCCTGTGGCCGCCAGCATAGACAGCTCCCCCTGCGGCTGCCAGCACAGCCAGCTGTCTGCCCTGCACGACCCCCTTGCTGGTCGCCCACAGTCAGGTAGCAATGATGTGTGTCTGTCTGTCATGGTGTGTGTGTGTGTCTGTGTGTTTAAAAATAGTGTTTTTACTCACCTTTTTTTCCCCCATGCCGTGCTGGTCTCCCCTCAACTGGCCCTGCCTCTATGGCTGAGATCATCAAGTTTGATGATCTCAGCCAATCCAATGCTTTGCCACAGGATTGGCTGCAAAACGCTACACCGGTTAGCATCTCCTCATAGAGATGCATTGAATCAATGTATCTCTATGGGGAACGTTCAGCGGCTCCAGAGCGTGGAGGCCGTGAATGTAGGTGCTGCGCACTGTGCAGCACTGACACAGGAAGCACCTCTAGTGACCGTCTGAGTGACTGTCACTAGAGGTGTCTCTAGGAAGCAATGTAAACACTGCCTTTTCTCTGAAAAGTCAATGTTTACATTGAGAAACCTGCAGGGACAGGCTAAAGACACCAGAACCACTACATTAAGTTGTGTGTGTGTGCGCCTGCTAGTGAGTGAGCTTGTGGTTTTATGTCAATGAGCTTATGTATATCAGTGAGATTGTTTGTTTATGAGGCTGTGTATCAATGAGCTTGTGTGCTTCCATGAGATTGTCTGCATGTGAGCATGCTGTAACGGCAACCCCAGGCATAAAGGGGTTAAACCGCCGTTTAGTAGATCTTCCCCTTCCAGAGACACAGGCACAGCTACTGTAGACACCAATCCACCGAACCGGAGAAGCATATGAATGCTGTAAACAGCCGAACCGGAACCATTCGAATGCTGTAAACAGCCGAATAGGAAAAACCATACGAAAGGTTTACACTCCTAGCAGTCGAACTGGAACAGCATACCATAAATCCCTACGCTTTGAGGGTCAAGCAGGAACAGACAGAGCTGTGGGTTTATTGTTCTTATGTACACATTCTTACACATTAGTACCACCCACAGGGTTTTGGAAAACAACCAATAAACATGTACAATACACTCGGACACTCCCACACAAAATCCTCCCCTCTGCCTGTGATACAATTACCTTACACAATGGGTAATGTAATTATCACAGCCAGAGAAATACAGTTTTTCCACATAATTCATAACTTGAAAAGTATGAATCACATTCACAGAATCAGCATACTCCAAATACAAACATATGTCAAAATCATCCAAATTGGTCCATTGGTTCAAAAGATAGATCAAAGTCCTTTGTGACCAAATGAAGCATGGCTTTTCTGCCCAAAACCAGCTCCACAGAGTCTTCTATCCTGGAGATAATTGGGAAGTAATCCAATTATCTCCAAGGACAGAGGCAAAACTCCATTGAACACATGGCAGCAAAAGACAATAAAGCCATTGCACAAAACATTCAACATATCCCCAGATAGCTCAGATCTGAGCACACATTATTACTGAATGGCGCTCAGAGCACACACATACAGTTCAATTGCCATGGAGCCAAAGTCTTTCCCATAGTCTTTCATTATATGAATGGGCTCCATGGCATCGGGAGTATCACGCTCAAACAGGGCAAGCACCGAATGACCAGACTTTCGTGTCTTCGCAGGTGAAAATCAAGCGTTTCAACATGAGGCCATGGTCTAAAGGCAGCAGGCGGGCCACCAGGCTCGTCCAATGCACAGTGGCGAGATTGGTCTCATCACACATGTTTACTGTATAATGAAATGTTTTACTCTGAAAGTGTAACCGTGTAAGCGTGCAGAAGCCGAACACAGAGAAATGGACACAGGTATTCAGGAAGTAAGAGGCCTTTATTCACATTACCGATCGGGTCTCAGATGAACTCCTGTTCCAAAATTCTGAGCACTGAATACATAGAGTACATTCCTTATATAGCACTGTAGCTCCTCCCATAATTAGCTACGCCCACACATACCCTTAACCTAATCAATGAATAGAGTCTTAACTCATCCATCCGGTCTAACCACGTGGCTCATCTGAAACAAAGGAAAGGGACGCGTAATTCCAGTTCCTGCATTCCTGCACATGCTCAGTACATTGATGACAGTATCTTAGCTACGTGTAACTAACTAACTGATACTACAAACACATGTACCTACATATGCCTTGTGGCAATCTTGCCCTACTAAACTTTTATTTTACCGGAATTCCATCACATTCCCCCCTTTGATGCTTCTGATTTAAAATAATTCCAGATGCATCACCAATCCTAGTTTGCCAAGATCTCTCCAGTAGCCATGAACCAGAACAGACCTCGTAAGCATCCTTAGCATATTCTTTTAGCATTCCCCATCCTGAATATGCTCTCTCTGGGTTAAAGGTTCATATTTACAGACAGCCATTACATGGGCAGCTGTCTTCCTCTCAATAGTGCTGTCTATAACACTTCGTATGGACCTGACCACTAATGGAATCAGGCAGGGCAGGAGGAAGCACAAGAAATATAATAAATTCTACTCCTCCTACTAGTGCCTTAATCCCTCCAAGCTGCTCATACCAATTTCCAAACCAACTACTTGGGTTATACCCACTCCAGACCTGAGTAGGTACATGCGCAAGTTTAACCATGTGACTGGTAAGTTCAGCTACTGCCTGCCCTTCATCATCTATGTGCAGACAACAGTTACTTAAATTAAACTTCCCGCATACACCTCCCTCTACTGCTAATCTATTTTGATAGATGGCTGATCTCATTCGGGTATTATGTTTAGCTAGGAGATTGAGGGCCTGTGCTGTCTCATTGGTGATAATCTCAACCACCACCTGTAGTCTTATAATACGATTAAGCATATATATTGGGGTTCTATATCCATAAGTACCATCTTCTGCCCAAGTAGCCGGTCCATAATAATTAATAATACATTGGGGAGGCCACTCATCATCTTCCCAGCTACCTATATTCAAGGATGCTCTCTTCCTTTTATGATTTACATCGTAAACCTTAACTCCAAGGTCTCTCCTGTTTCAATTGGCAACAAGAAGAAGGATGGTTTGAGCATACCTAGTACACATGCCCCTTCCCAGTCTTGTGGTAACTCTGAATATGCCTTCTTACCACAAATCCAGTACAGATTTGCTGGGGCTTTTACAACTAGATGTAGCAGATAAATCAAACCATACCTCTTTCAAATTAGTGTAATTGGCAAATGGATTAGTAGGTTCCGAGACATTTGAAGCTGACCACCAAGTAGTATCTTTTGTATTATCATTATAAGCCTTTTTGTCCCAAACATGTTAACTCACCTACAGATTTGTTATACATTATCCCTTTCCTAGCTATACAAACATGACCTATAATAGAGGTTTTCAACCGCCATCCTGATTTACCTCTAGTACTCACTTGATGATCAGACTGAGAAAGTATCTATTGTTCATCTGTCTCAGAACCAGGGTACCATGCCTCCTTTGCTTCCCATGGCCACTGGTCTCCCATATTAGTACCTCCACATACAAAACAGTTAGTTACATTAAGACTACCTGCAATACTCTCAGCTAAATCTACAAATAGGTTCTTAACATTATGGGGAATTTTATCCTCAATACTCATCTCCTCATAGAAGGAATGAAAAACCTGATGAGTTTGGGTTACTACTGTCTCCGTTTCAATGCCTACATATATAATATCCCCAGGATCTAACCCTGTTCTGTATATTTGGAACCCAAATAGATTTCCAAACTTGTCAGTGAAGTGTTGCGGATTAGATATGGTCATATGAACCGGATTACACTCCATAGATTTACAATATGGTGTGGTAGGCAACCTTTGGATAATCATATCTTGGTCTACTGTTTTACCCCAGGTTGCCCAGCCCACACAAGACCAATATGGACAGAATTTAAAATCTCTATTTGGGCAATCAGGATCAGTAGATCTTTTACTGGGACATAAATATTTGTCATTGAACCCATAAATTCATTCCCACTTTAAATTACCACATACATTCCAAGCTTTTCCACTACACGAGATCGCCTTACATGCATCAAATAGTAGAATACCCATAGAATGTATGGTATTTATCACCATCCTATTTATCAAGGTCCCCTGAGAGTTGCTATTCCGAATTACCCAGCAAATTGTACGGGGTTGGAATTGGGGATCAAAACATTTAGACTCTCCTTCTGCTAGGTGACACACACTGTAATCAATATCCAAATATCGACATTTAGATACAGACCGCTTACATTCATACTGTGAGTGCCAAATAAGAGTTTGGGATATTTGATTACCTGTCTTAGTAGTCTTAATGCAACTATCACAATTCTGTATGTCTGTACTCTTACCTCCCTGAAAATTTATAATAACACATAAATACACAATAAAATTTATTATTCCTGGTATCCTCATTCTTGTTTCTTCGACCGTGCGACGGCACCTCAGCTTCCCGCTTGTGAGGGCTGCAAGGATTGGCGTTCTTCTGATCCTCACTTTCCTTCACAGAGATCTCTTTGAGACACTCTGACTTATGACACGTAGGCAGATGGTCAGGCTTTATTATGGCCGTCAAAACACCTACTTGCTGATCTCAAAATAACACTTCCAACCACGATGTCCCAATACTTCACACTCACTCCGACTGAGTCACCCACTTTAACCGGATCTTGAAAGGATTTTCAGGATCTGGAATGGCTTGCCAAGAGTCTGCTGCTGATTTAACCCTAGAGTGATGAATCCACGGAGTCACTTCTGCCACCTTTACAGCTGTTGGAGTGGACAAAAGAACAACATAAGGACCTCTCCATTTCGGACCTAATGGAACACTATTCCATTATTTTATCCACACTTGATCTCCTGGATGGTAAGAATGAACAGGTGGATATATGTTCACAGGTAACCTATCTTGTACCCATTTCTGTACTTCCAACATAGTTCTACCCAACTCTACAACCTGCTGCCGAGTAATTTCTTCTTTCACATAGCTACTACCATCCGTATAATACTGTACATCCGGGTCCTGAATGGGAAAGTCATGAAGGTCCGGTCGGCTTGAAAACACCTCATCCATTATCTCCAAACAATCATGTTGACTTTCATTACGTTTTGGCAAAAGGGTAGCTGGATTCAGGGTATTAACAGTCTCAAGGTGTACTCTTGGATTTTCACATAGCATGGCTTGATATTTAGTAATTCGGCTATTACTGAACCAATGATTACCTTTGTAATCCAATAGAGTCTGTACTGCATGAGGTACTCGCACGTGGAGTTCCTGTCCCAGTGTAAGCTTGTCAGCTTCTGCTACAAACAGGGCAGTGGCGGCCACTGCTCGCAGACAAGGTGGAAGACCACTAACCACTGCATCCAACTGTTTGGACATGTACGCGACAGGTCATTGCCATGATCCCAAATACTGAGTTAGTATTCCCACAGCCATTCTTCTTTGCTCATGTACATACAGATAGAATGGACGTGTATGATCAGGTAGACCTAGGGCTGCGGCACTCATTAGTGCTTTCTTGATATCCTCAAATGCCTTCTGCTGTTCAGTAGTCCATAGGAAGGGGTCATGTTCTGTGCCTTTTATAGCTCCATATAAGGGTTTCGCCAATATCGCGTAATTAGGAATCCATATCCTGCAGAATTCTGCTGCTCCTAAGAATTCTCGCACCTGTCTTCTATTCTTAGGTATCGGTATCTGACATACCGCTTCTTTCCTTTCGGGTCCCATTATCCTTTGACCTTCAGAGATATGGAATCCCAAATACTTGACAGTTGACTAGCACAATTGCACTTTCTTCCTAGATACTTTGTATCCTGCCTTCCAGAAAATTTGAAGTAGATCATAAATTGCTTGTTGGCATATCTCTTTAGTAATTGCTGCTATCAACAAATCATCCACATACTGAAGTAATACACATTCTCCTGGGATGGACTTGAAATCTTGCAGGTCCTGACTTAATGCGGATCCAAATAGGGTGGGTGAATTCTTGAACCCTTGAGGTAATCTAGTCTAAGTCATCTTACGCTTTGAACCTGTAAAAGCATCTTCCCATTGGAAGGCAAAGATACACTGACTTTCAGCAGCAATTCGAAGTATGTTGCCCCACCTGGTATCAAGGGAAGCAGATTATAAGGGTTGGGTACAACTGGGTGTATATTAACTACCGCATCATTAACTGCTCTTAAATCTTGTACAGGACGATACTCATCTGATCCTGGCTTCTGAACAGGTAACAATGGAGTATTCCAGGGGGAAGTACAGAATTTTAGGATACCATAACTTACAAACTTATCCAAGTAGGTCTGTATGTTTCTCTTTGCCTTTTGAGGTATATGGTACTGCCGTAGACTCACGGGATAGGCCCCAAGCTTCAACCCAATACGTATAGGTGGAATATTACGGGCAAGATTATTTTCTGCCCATACTCCTGGAATGTCAAATAGGCATTCATCACTCTTAGAATTTACACTTGTCATTATAGTATAGAAGCGCCATTCTTCTTCCCTTGGTACCGATATCGCCATTATGCTTGATGATCCATTAAACTTCAGGGATGTCGATCCATTGGGTAAAAAGGTTATCTGGGCTTGAAGCTTTGATAATAAATCTCATCCCAGAAGTTGGATTGGACACTCAGGCATATAAAGAAATTGGTGCTTCACCAAATGGCCTCCCAGAATGCAAGTGCGACTCTTAAGAACCGGTCTAGCAGTGCTCTTCTCAGTTGCTCCTATTACTGTAATGGTTTTTCCTGATGGAGGAGCAACTAATTTAGTCACCACGGAATGTTCAGCCCCAGTATCGATCATGAAAGGAATTCTCTTTCCCCCTATTGCTACATCAACCATAGGCCCCGCTCGGCCAAGGGGGATGGAGCCCGGTCAGTATCAATAGTCCTACATGACAGTGTCAGCCAGACCCACAAAATCTCTATCCTCTCTTTCTCTAGGTCTCTGCGTGGGTGGATAATATCTGTCCCCTTGAACACTTCTTCTATTATTCCCACTATTTCCTCCAAAACTTCCTCTACCTCGTCCTCTATAGCTGCTACCTACCTCACCCTCTTCTCTCTTCTTGTCTACCACCTGCAATATATCCCCTCTGTGGACAGTCACTTTCCAATGCCCTTCCTCTCTACAATATGCACTTTGATTCCTACTTAAAGGTCCCTTACTCAGCCTATTCTCGACTCCTTTATTCACTTCCCTTCCCTGTCTTTCTACACTTGTGATAGCTACCGCTAGCATATCTACCCTTTTCCTCATCTTACGTTCTTCCTCACGCTTTGTCTCAATTTCCCTATTCATATACACCTTATTTGCAACCTCCATTAGCTGTGATATGGATATCCCTACAAATCTCTCCAATTTTTTTAACTTTCTCTTAATATTGCTCTGGGCCTGGCTGACAAATGCTGAATTAATCATTTGGAAGTTTTCAGGGGCTTCAGGATTGAAAGGAGTGTACAATCTATTTTACTCAAGCAGTCTCTCATAAAAAGCACTGGGTGATTCATTAGCTTTTTGTAACACTTCAACCATCCTGGACAT